ACCCACTGACCCCAAGCTGGGATACAACCTGATCCTAGGGTCACAAGCCTTCTCACTCCTTCAAGCTCGGAAAACTGAGAGGGCGCAATCCTTGCCCTACAAAACAATGGTCCAATCCATCAATTAACCATTCCACTTCCAGCTGCAAAACCCCAGCTGAACATAATCATGACTCCTTTCCGGAGTTCCTGCGACCATATTCCGGCCTCGAGCAAACCCCCGAGCCTCAAATCTAGAAACTCACGTGCTAGCCTCTCCCGCTCCACCCGCAGAAATATAACGAGTACAGATCATCTTCCCGATCCCAAATAACTGCAGCCCTCTGCTCATCAGAATATGTCCCAGAACTAGGAAGCTCGACCAGCTCCTCCCCTTGCCATCGTTACAGCTGTTAAAGCTACCGCGGTAACCGTCTCGGCAATGGCTGCATAGCGCTCGTCGAAATACTCAACCATGGCGGTCTTAATAGACTTGACATCTTCGGAAACTGCCCCCGGACAATCTTGATCACCTTCTCCCGGATGATCTCACTAACATGATCCCCTGAAAATGCTGGCCTATCTTGGCTGCCCGCTCCCGATCCTAACCTGGATCCGGTCTCAAGACGTCTCGTAACCACCATTCTGGTAAAATACCAGAAAGATCTCTGATAACCCATATAATAACAGGGAACCAACTCCCAACCCAACCCTAGGGGTTGTGACTTCGTTGATACGCGTATGGGCCCTGTGCTTTCAGTAGTACGGGCACATACTACCTTCCACACCTACCCATATTTGTCTCAAGTATCACCACAACACCCTACAATATACATATACATAGCGAGCGATAAATCCTCACTCCTAGAGGAATGCTAAATATCTCATAACTGGCCTCCCGACCTCTCACTACCCACCCATCCATGAAACTTCCACCAACCCCTGCAACACTAGTGTATGCTAGCCATACATAACGCTAGACACTATAGACTTTCGAATATCCAATCCTACCCTAAGCCCTAATCAATAAGAACAGAACATAAGGCCATATCAAACATTCTCAGACTATAAGATCTTAATTATATACAGCTGTGATGCATACACAAGTAACTACAGTAATGATGTCAATCTCATATAAGGAAAACCCTAGGCTAGCAGGCATCATGTAATCAGGAATTTCTATCATGCAATTCCTGAAGATCCCTAGCCTAGTATTAGCATGTTGTGCTAACATATCACATAATCAAATATCTTGTATGGTATTTCAGGGTTTACTTATTGGCTCCGGCTGATCGTACACTTTGCATCCTCCTTTTCTTATTTTGAAAACCATTTTAAAAATCATTTTTAAATCCTTTCCTTGATTTGAGACTGGATTCACACGAATATTCCTCCAATTCACTCAAACCAAGGCTCTGATACCAACTTGTAACACACATAAAATTCGAGCCAATTTAAAACTTTTTAAATCATTTGAAACCATTCAATTATTACAATTTGTTTTCAAAATAGTTTATACATCAGAGTTCCCAGAAATCATAATCATCAATCGAGGAAGTGTACGGTCACGCCTTCGCCTACCCGCGACCATCCGCTGAACCTAAAACAATAAACTGAAACTGTAAGCACGAAAGCTTAGTGAGTTACCCCCAAAATACCAACCTCATATAAGCATACTCATATCATATCAACAATTACAGAACAACCATGCATCTCGAGTCTACAGTGTGACTGGTCCGCCCGCACCGGGCCTTCAGTCCACCTGGTCCACTATCTGAGTCTACAGTTTGACTGGACTGCCCGCACTGGGCCTTCAGTCTATCTGGCCCACTCTCCGAGCCTCGGGACGTCTAGACCACCCTCTCGGGGCCTTCAGCCTAGTCGAACCGCTCGTCGGGCCTTCGGCCTGACTATGTGCCCTCCCGGGTCTGCAGTCTATCTGGTCCGCCCTGGGTATGTTGGCCTACAGCACGAAGCAGGACCCGCCTCAACCCAACCCCCAATTAAAAACCATGTGCACATATAACAGATAATCACATAACAGTCTATAGGAAAACAAACCGATCTAACAGATCATATAGCATAACAACATCCTATAACCAGGATACCGACCTAACCGGTCACTAACATAGCATCATCCTATATACCAGGATACCGACCGAAACCAAGTCACTAAACATAATACTGTCCTAACTACCAGGACGCAGATCTAACAGATCAGTAAACATATCATGAAAATACCCGGATACAAATCCGATAAAGGGCCGGCCTTGGTGTCGTAGACCCTGTTGATATAGTGAGGATAACTCACCTTGCAATGCCGGACTGAACCACGAAAACACGCTCCCGAAACATTGCCCCAAACTCCAACACCTATAACCATCAATGATCCAATTCATAAATACATGCTTACCAATTATCCTCAAAAGTCAAAACGGTCAACCCTTGGTTAAAGTCAAAGTCAACTATCAAGGTCAACAGTCCATGTTGACCTCAACTCGTCGAGTACCCTCAGCTACTCGCCGAGTTCCTTGCATAAATTGCCAACTCGCCGAGTCACCATGCCACTCGCCGAGCCCAAGGCAATCTTCATCGGACTCGCCGAGTCGACCATGCCACTCGCCGAGTCCCTTCGGTCTTTCATCCATACAGATGCTTTTTAAGCCATGCTAAGGCTCCATATTGCAGATCCAAGCTCCTAGGGCAGGTTTATCACGTAAAGTTGCAAACTTTACGTGCATGCAAGGCGCTAATCACTTTAATCAAGCTAAAGAGGAGGTTCTAGGCAAAAGAGCTTCACCAACATGCTAAAGACTGAGACTTTATGATGATAAGAGCCAAGATGATCCTAGATCTGAAGTTTCAACTTCAGATCTTGGCTCATCACTCGAAATACAACACCAAATGCCCCAAAATGGTCCCAAAACTCAAATATAAAAGGGATCTAGCTAGAAAAAGCTCAAGGTGATGACTTGATACCTTCAAATGATGATAAAATGAGGTAGACTTCAGATCCCCAACTGTTCCTTGCTCAAAGCTTCTTGATCTTCAAGCCTTTCCTCACCAAATCCACCTTTCAAGCTTAAACACACAAGTATGGAGAGAAAATGGAGATTTAGGGTTTCTGGACTCACAGGGGCTGTAAGGGAAGGCCAAGGGGGCAAATGGTTCCTTAAATAGGGTGCGAAACCCCGAAAATTAGGGTTTCACCCTCCAGCCGTCGAGTCACCCTTCTGACTCGGTGAGTTGGTCACTTAAACACGTGGCCCAATCCTGCTCCTACTCGATGAGTCAGGACATCCACTCGTCGAGTAGACCTTGAAACTTGAAATTTAAAGTCATACTATCAATACATGAGAATCGGGGCGTTACAAAAACAATCATTTTAAGTTCTCCAATTACTAAAACCACTGGAAGTATTTGATTTTGGACCTTCCATATAAGTTGAAAATTTGTTTGTCCCTATCCACAGTTTTTTGCATAACACAGGGACAAATTTTGCAGTTTTGTCTTCATATAATTATGTTTATTTAATTTTTTGTTAAATTAAGTAAAAAAATGATTTTTTTTCTTGAAATTCTGTAATTGTTCTTTGGTTCTTGGACTTGTTCTTAAAATTCTAGAATTTTTTTTCCGAAATCCAAAATTCTAGTTCGGAATCCGGAATGTTGGTTGGAAATCCGGAATGTCATTCCAGAATCAATAAAAAAAAAGCTTATTTTCATGGGCTGGAATGATCAATCCGTAAAAGTGGTTATTTTTGTTTAAAAAAATGATTATTATCTTTAAATACACGTTAAAAAAAAGTTCTTAATTTTTTTTTTCCAATTCAATTTGGATAATGTTTCTTTCTTGGGTCGAATCGGATTTAACCCATTTATTAAACAGAAGGTTATATAAAATAATAATGGTCAAACCCAAATTTAACTCCGTAGACGTAAAGATTCTCCCCGTTTTAGAATTTAGGTTGAGCGACGGCTATACAGGCGGAGGGCGACAGCGAGACGAGGCTTGTAGAACGGTGAGATTGGGAAGGGGTGCAGGGCGCAGCGTCAGGCGCTGCCATGGTGGGCGAGTGAGAAGCTGCAGGCTGTAGTCTACTCCTCTTTACTGATTTTCTTCTGTATGCACCTCCCCATTTTTCCTTCTAGTTTGCTGGAGTCTATCTCCCTTGTTACGGTGGTTTATTCGTGTTATAATAATATCTTTTCATTTGGGGGTCGGATTATGTATTTGATATTCTTTTAATAAGAACTCAACATTTTTAAATTTGCTTAGGGTTATTGTTGTCTAACTATTGGTGTGTAAGCCATGCATCATACCATATAACAACTTAGTCTTTGGAAATCATGTAATGCATTTTAGATATCAAAACTGCTATTATCATGTTAGACATAAGAACATTCACAATGCATAGTTTAACGGAAGAGTTGAATGAGGGGGAATGGCTAGTTGACATTCAATTGATTAAACTCAAGTGGGATGTGACACTTTGGCATTCAATGGATATGGAGTTCAAGGACCATTGAACTCTCCAATTGGACAAAAGAAAACTTTTTTATGTTTAAAATAAATGTTCCATTGAAGTCTTGTGGAGTTCAATGATTGTGGGAAAAAATGGTAGATTTGTATGGAATTATGGATAGTAGAATAATGATATGGAAATCCATTAAATTCTATAGAATTCAATGTATTGTGGATGCCAGATATGGGAGCTAGGGCTCTAGTATTTACATAGAGTATACTGAGGATATCTAGTACTATTGAGCATGATCATGTTTAATTTCAATTGATATATTTGTCTTCTAGTTTTATTAGTTGACTTTTCCTCTCACGTGGCCCTTTTTTGAGCAACCAATTCCTATTTGTTTGATGCAAGGATTTATATTTCTCTTTGATGTTGGGATAGATATGTATGGCTATTGGCTAATATTGATTATGAATGTTATGCAATTAAATCTCTTTTCTTTTTTCCTTCTTAAATTCTACTTTTCAATCGTGTGGAGGTCAGACTTCAAGGAAATGATGGAAGTGCAATCCCAAAGTTTGGATAGAATCAGCACTCTTCCTCAAGACACAATTGAAAAAATTCTGACTCTTTTGCCCATTCAAGATGCATTGAGGACGAGCGTCTTGTCAAAGAAATGGAGGCATTGCTGGAAGGGAATGCCTAAACTTGTATTTGATGACAAGTACTTGAATAGCTCATCAAGTAGCAAAGAAATTAACAAATATAAGTTTGTCACTTCCATCTTCCATGTTTTGTTACTACACAATGGTCCAATATTAGAATTCAGTATCTCTATTAATATCGATACAGAAATTGTTGATCAGATTGACCAAATAATACTTCATCTTTCAAAGAGCAAAAATATCAAGAAATTCATCTGTAAGTTTTGGTCAAATGAACTCTTCAAATTTTACTTTTCCAAGCGCTAAAAGCTACCCTCTGTGTTCTTTTCATTGCATGGACTAGAACACCTACATCTCACACATTGTGTCATTGAGCTTCCATTAACATTTAATGGATTTATTACCTTAAAGAGTCTCAAGTTATGCAATGTCAACATCACTGCTAAGATGCTTCAACAATTACTTACCAGTTGCCCACTACTTGAGAAATTTATACTGGTAAGTCCCATATAACCATTTATGAAAGCGCCTTCAGTTAAAACCTTCTTACAAATTATATTGATGTAGATTGGAAACAAGTGTACATGTCTTGAGCTATCCAAGTGTTTACCTTCGGTTCAGGTTCTGAAAATCTCAAAGTATTATATCAAGGTAATAAATACTTAACTTGATGCTTTTATCTCATGCAACAGTATTCTGTCTTAATTCTGGTTTTGGTATTCGGCTAAAGCAGTTTGCTAAAGGCAGTATGCAGAAACTCCCTACTTTACTAGTCCACTTGAGGATTCTTTTTCTTGATGTGTGTTTTCTGAAACAAGATGAGCTTTCGTATGCTCTCGGTGTGATCAACAGCGCCCCAAATTTGGAGAAGATAAAAATAGAGGTAGATAGATATAAACTACACACACTCACATACTTTGAAAATAATAGATATACAATTAATCGTACATGTTTTTTGATCAGTCGTGTTGGAACCATAAGCTGTGTGGTCAACAAACTTGCAAGGACTTGCTTGATCTTCAAGACTACTATTTGGGAATGAAGTTGGATCACCTTGAAGAACTTGAGATAAATAGTTTCCATAACTATGCTCCTGAAATGGAGTTTGTGAAACTCGTCATGGCTAAGTCGCCTATGCTTAAGAAAGCACGGATAAAGCTTAATTCAGATGTTTCTGTGGATAAAGAAAATAAGATTCTTCGAGATTTGCTGCGATTAACATTTCCACGTGCATCACCAGCAGTGGATATCATTGTTGAACGTTAAACAATTATATGTGGATGCAAAATGCCTGTTATTCATTTAGCTACTTTTTTTTAATGATATGTAAAAATATGTGTTTTATGTTATAAACCCACATCCATCGTTCTCCATTCAAATATGGTTAACAAAGTCACTCCATAGTCCATATTCAAAGCATTTCTTGAATCATGTCAAAATATAGTATAACACTAAATGTCTAAATTTGACATTATACTATTTTTTTTTTTATACTAAATGCTGTCAAACTTTATATGGTAATTTTGGTCCTCCAAATTTTTTATCTAAAGATTTTGAATTTAGTTTAAAGTTTTGTATTCATTTAAATAACTAAAACACACTAACATATTTAATGTAAACTTAAAATTGATTTAAGTCTTCCGGTAATAATCCTCTACTAAAAATATTACCTTGTATATTATCGACTTATTGTAACAAAAAATATACGTCATATTTGTGAAAATCCCATAAATATAAAAAGCGTTTTGTTGAAAATCTACATAAGCTGTAGACACTAACTCTTACTTAAACACCTTCGCTAATAACTATGGATTGGAAAAAAGAAATTAATGTTTGCATAATATTTACTTTGACATAAAAACCAATGTTATGGGTTAAACATACACCAAGGTTTTGGTGTTTGTTAAGAGTTAAGTTCAAATCCAGAACCATATTGATTACACATAATATAAAATCTATGTTGAAAATGATAATTTTATATTTCTGTTTTGTACCGAAAATATCTATGAGTTTGAGAAGAAAAAAAGTTATTAACTATCTTATGCGTACAAGGCCAATAGGGATTTTGTGATTTAAAATCTTTCAATCCTCTCCCTTGGAAGGGGAGATTCAATTAGGAGAGTTGGAGTTTAAACGAGGTGGAGGAGGAGGAAGAGGATTGGTGTTGATGTTATCGTTCAACATCTACAAAACAAAAGGTTTAGTTAGTTTGAATACATACTTAAAATAATTATTAATCCTAAATGAATTATTAACAAGTCTTGGATCCATATTTGGCTCTGCGATGTGTAAAGGATTGTCGTAAACATATAACAAAGTTATTTAGATAGGCAACACATTTTTCCAGTTTTAAACTTTTGAAACTCCTAGATTATTTGAGATTCATTGACATTCAATGGTATGTTAATCTCGATTGTGCTCATTTCGATTTAATGACGAAGATGTTGCAGATCACTAAATAGATGATGAATCAACCATAAAAACCGTGTGACACTCGATAGACAATTATTCTCAAGGACGTGCCAATTAACCACCCACACTTCATCAACAGAATAATCTCATGAGTGACACATCATATTAAATTATATTTTCGCGAGCGATGACGTGCTGGTTAACCACACATGCCCCCATCGTCAAAATATAAGTAATATGTATGTTTTCATGGGTAATACATGACTCACGTTTATATATATATATATATATATATATATATATATATATATATATATATATATATATATATATATATATATATATATATAACGAGAATTTTGTTTTACTAAGTGATTAGTACAATTTATCTTGAAAAAAAATCTGACCGAACTCTTTCGGCAACTCCACTTTGAAAATACGAAAAGGCGGTAAGGGTGGAAAGTGCGAAACATTTTAAAAACTGACCTCGTTAGAATCGTAGAGACATCCTTAAAAAAATCGCAAAGTATTAGAGTGGGTGTGGTTAGTCTTGATTCGACGATAATGTTTTTAATTAACATGCGAGGACACATGTGGTATAATTGTTATACATATAGTTGTTACACCAAATACTAAATTTAAACCTTTTAAATTTATATATTTTTGTCTTTCTAATTTAATTCTCTTATTTAATAAAGTTCAAAATAAATATTCAAATTTTAACTCAAGTTTAAATAATATTCAAATATTTAACCAATTAAATATTCAAATTTAAATTTCAATTAAATAATATTTTTAAATTGTAACATCCCAAGTTCGGAAGCAAGAAGTTGGAGGGTGCTAAGTGTAAATAAAGGAAGCTACTCGACGAGTAGGTATGCTACTCGTCGAGTCGGAGCGGGATTGATCGCGGGTTAAGTGGCCAACTCGCCGAGTCGGCGGCTTGGACTCGACGAGTTGGTGCTGGAATGAGAAAACTCTAATCCCGAGGATTACACCCTATTTAAAGAACTTTATGTCCTTCTCCCAGCCTCCTAATCCCCCAGAGAGTTCCAGAAAACCCTAATTTCGTGTGAGACTTCATTGTTGAGGAGATTGGAGCTTGGAAGAGGAATTTAGTGGAAGGAGCTTGAGAAATTAGAGGCTAGCATCAAGGGGCTTGTGTAGATCTGGGATCTACATCAGTTTGGGCACATCTCAGAGGTAAGGAGCCACTATCTTAAGCTATTTCCTTTTTGGGTTCATCTTTGGTGGTTGATTTGGAGTTCCTTAGCTTGTTTGAGATCTATTTCGGGTTTGGAGTTTAGATCTGAGGTTGCTACTCCAGATCTAAGCTTGTGATGGTCCTTAATGCCATAAAGCTCCTGTCTAAGAGTTATTGGTGAAGCCCCTTTATCATAAACCCTAGCCCTAGAGTGTTTTGGGCTTATATCTCCTTGGTTTCACGTAAAGTTTACAACTTTATGTGAGGGTTAGGCTGTAGAAGAGTGGATCTATGGATTGGAGCCCCTGCATGGCTCGAAAAGCCTCTGTATAGATTGAGAACTGAAGAGACTCGGCGAGTCACATGGGTGTACTCGACGAGTTGTATGAACATGTGCATGGACTCGGCGAGTTGGAAGAACAACTCGGCGAGTCTGTTGAAGACTGCCTTGGACTCGGTGAGTCTGTTCTTGGACTCGGCGAGTCAGGTCGCAGAACCCCTAACCTCTTCTGGTTAAGACGCAGATCAGTGAGTCGAGGGGTGACTCAGTGAGTTGGACAGGATAGGACTCGGAGATCGTTGGACTCGACGAGTCTTGGGGTGACTCGGCGAGTTGAGTCGTGTTCTAAGAGTTTTTTGAGTATGAGGACTCGACGAGTCAACGGGTTGACTCGGCGAGTAGAGTCAACCAGGAAGGTTGACTTTGACTGAATACTTTGACTGAGACCAAGAGTTGACCAGTTTGACTTCCAAGGGTATTTTGGTAATTTTGGTATTGGTTCTTTGGTAGTGTTCTGTGGTGGAGTTCGTGTCGGTGGTCGGAGCAGCTTGGTCTTATCTCTTCAGTCGGCAATTGTAGGTGAGTTATCCTCACTATATCGACAGGGTCTACGGCACCAAGGCCGGCCCTTTATCGGATGGATATCCGGGTATTGTTTGTTATGTTATTGCTTTGCTAGATCTGCATCCTGGTATTTAGGATGGTGTTATGTTAGTGACCTGGTTAAGGTCGGTACCCGGTATATAGGGTAATGTTATGCTAGTGACCGGATAGGTTGGAATCTTGGTTAGGATGTTGTTATGCTATGTGATCTGTTAGACTGTTTGTCTGGTTAAGGATTTGTTATGTGAATTATTGTTTTATGTGCACATGGTTGTTTGACGGGGTTGGGTTGAGGCGGGTCCTGCTTTGTGCTGTAGGCCAACATACCCAGGGCGGACTGGGTATTCCGAAGGCCCAGCGAGCGGTCCGGATAGGCTGAAGGCCCCAAGAGGGCGGACCAGACGTGCCGAGGCTCGGAGAGTGGACCAGGCCGACTGAAGGCCCGGTGTGGGCGGACCAGTCATACTGTAGACTCAGAGAGTGGACCAGGTGGATTGAAGGCCCGGTGCGGGCGGACCAATCACACTGTAGACTCGATGTACATGGCTAGATTCGGAGGGTGGACCAGGTGGACTGAAGGCCCGGTGCGGGCGGACCAGTCACACAGTAGACCCGTTGTGCATGGCTGTTCTATTTGTGATATGTTATGAGTATGTTTATGTGTGGTTGGTATTTTGGGGGTAACTCACTAAGCTTTCGGGCTTACAGTTCAGTGTATTGTTTCAGGTACTTCAGGAGATCGTGGCAAGGCGAAGGCGTGATCGTACCGCTCCTCATGTTTTATGATTTATGTGATATGGTTCTAGGGGATACTCTGATGTTTAAACTATTTTGAAAACGAGATGTATGAACTTAATGGTTTTTGAATGAATTAAAATGTTTTAATTTGGCTCAAATTTTATGGGTGTTACATAAATTAATCAAAAATTCGAATATTTCAGATTTAAACAATTAAAATAATAATTTAATTAAAAGAGTTATCTTTATTTTGTCGAAAAACAGATAAAATCTGAAACCCGATAAATCGCCAGACGCGACGAGTCTAGCAAAGAGGTGCGTCGCACCAGCGACTAGCGTGTTTCTTTATTTTGTTCGATTTTTACAAAGTTTGTGCAAATACAACTAAAACCTATTAGGCTCTGATACCACTGTTACGTTTTATTAGCATCAATCACATCAAGAAGGTAACAAAATAATCTAGAGATTTACCTAAGTGTACATGCACCCTAGATATAGGATTTACTATTTATAGCAACGTACTTTAAAAACTTACAAGAAAGAAATTAGTTGTAATGACCCGAACTTTCTATGTCTAATTAACTAGGGATTATCGGAGTTTACTAAACAAAATGCAAATTTCTATAAAAATTTAAAAACTTTACATCCCAGGTTACATTCGGGTTTAGAAAAAATCTCATCATAAAATAACAACAAGGAAATATACAAACAAATAAAAATTATTCTTTTATAGAAAGTCCTTGTGCTCTTGTCTTCCCATGTACCATGACTGCTACCTGAACCTGCAAAACATGAATACATCTACTGCATCAAACCACAGGTCCGGTGAGTTATATTGTAATATGTTTCAAGTTATCTACTCATCCTCTAACTCTTTCTTTTCTTCACATACTTTAACTTTCTTTTCTCTTATTTCTCATACTTTTCAATCTAATATCTTCTTCTCAAAACATACTCAATTATTCTTTGTCATCCCATCTGTCTCTTTTACTCGTTTCTCAAACCTTCTCATCTCATATATCTCTTATT